CATGAATATGAGTGCGACTATCATCTCTGCACTGATGGAAATTTTCAACACCGCCAACATCTTGCTGCAAGCCGCAAAATTGAGGAAATTGAATTTGAAACACCACCACTTTTCCTGGATGATAAGAAGGTGGAAGAGTTGAAGGTGCGAGTTAGTGGAAAGCCATCAGTTCGTGATCCAACACTACGTTTTTTTTCTCATTCCACCATTCACATGAGGTGAATCAAATTCACCTCCTAGTGAATGGTGGAATGAGAAAAAAAACGTAGTGTTGGATCACGAACTGATGGCTTTCCACTAACTCGCACCTTCAACTCTTCCACCTTCTTATCATCCAGGAAAAGTGGTGGTGTTTCAAATTCAATTTCCTCAATTTTGCGGCTTGCAGCAAGATGTTGGCGGTGTTGAAAATTTCCATCAGTGCAGAGATGATAGTCGCACTCATATTCATGTTCATTTGCTTGAAGCGGACCAAAACACCTGGGACAGTTCATAGCCAGCTGGTCTAACACCGTGAGATATAATGCACATATAGTGAGTTCCTTTGCCTTGTGTAACATCTTTCTATAAGCATCAATAGCTGAAGCAAAGGTCTTTCCCCATTTCCAAGGCTGCAGTGAATGTTTCATCATCAGCACACCAGAACAGAAAATGCAATTTTGATTACTTGCCTGTTTTTTTTCGCAACCAACATCAATGGGTTGGCTGCGTCAAGAAACTCATCCAGACCTAAGGTCAAACCTTGGTTTCTAACAGTACAATATTTCCACAACAAGTGGTGCAATCTCAGCAATCTGATAGAGTACGCCACTTGTGGATGCACTGGTGAACCACCAATGTAGCCCATCCGGATGAGACGTACTTGATCCAAAATACATCCGCAGACCTGACTTTTGACTTGTCGACGTTCTGAAACATACAACAAATTAAGATTGACTTCCTATTCATTGTAATGTATGAAGATATAATCAGAGAACTCACCCAAGATGTCAGATGTCTACTACGTCAATGTTACGCATCCTTAGGTCACATGCGCCACAAGAACATTGTTTGTTGTGATCGTGGTTCCAGGTCAAAGTATTTCCCCATTGAGACGTCTTCTTTGCCAGTTTCATGTAGGATATAAACATTGGAGGTATGGCCTTCATCCAGTTCTTATGTTCCAATATTTGTTTCCTTCTGTAATCGGATCCTGGAACATACATAGAATTATTGACGTTGACATCTGGTACCTCTTCAGGTTCCAGAGGTGCAGGAAGAAAATTGTCAATGTAGTTGTCCTGAAGCTGAGTGTGGCCATTGTGGTGTTCATCAGGGGGTATTGCATCCTCAAGAGGTTCATCAACTTGCATTGGATTTCCATGCGCAGCTTGAACAAGTGCTTGTTCAATCTCTTGAATACGGTTATTCACGTATTGAGCATCACTCGCATCGACTTGAGCAGCAACTATCACTGATCCTTGAGGGTCTGGCTTAGTACGCCTCTTCTTTTTGGCTCCACCACCGAGTGGGCATTCAATCTTCTTGCCTTTGCCCATGGCCGGATGTCTCATATGAGATTTTTGGTGATCAAGTACGAGTAGTTGAAAATTAACAATGAGATTACCAAAAAAAAAGGGGGGAAGTGAAGTAAAGAGCTCAAAAGATGACGATGAGATTTCAAAAATTAAGGGGAAGAGAACAACAAAAGAATTGATACAAAAAAGGGAACGACGTTATGATTGGATCTCCCCATCTTTTAAATAGACCCCAATTGGACAGTGGTCTATCCCCCTGTCTGCCAAAAAAAATTAGTTGATGCTTCCATTTCCCAATATGGAACAACCCGTATCTGTTTTATGAGGTAAGCCACAATGTCCCATACATCATCAATGTATCTTCATACTGTTTGGTGTGAATGGTCCGTGGAGGATAGAGAATACATTGAATTTTTGCACCCTGAATGAATACAATACATTTTTGCACTTTGACTGTCGTGCAATCTCATGTCATGCCATTGAAATGGTGTCACACACTCCTGTCACAGCCTCTGAATTTAGGCTGTGATACATCTCTGTTATGGAACTATCTAATCCTCCTCAATTGCACTTGACATCCCTTTCTTAGAAGTTACACATCACCGAGTCAAGATCAAATCGAACCATCCAAGCGTGATTCAGATCAAACCACCCAATATCTCAAGGGGCAATCATTCCTATTTGTCCAACCACATCATCTACGTCCCACCTCCATAATGCGTAACACTAGATCACAACAACTTGCAACCGCCTCTGTAGCCCGACCGACCAACAGATCATCGAAAAAGTCCAACCGTCCAAAACGTAGACTGTTCATTGAGTTGACTGAAACTAATCGTAAACGGATTAACATCAATGCTTGTTCTACCCGTCGGCCAGTCTCCTTGGTAAACCGAGACTTCAAGGATGAGGATGATTCAAATGACAAAGAAGATGAAGATGAAGATTCAAATGACAAAGAAGATGAAGATGAAGAGGTGTTCAATCCCCTGGCCACACGCATCAACACCAAACAACAAGGATGTGCCATTGCCCAAGCCATCAACCCTTCCGCCTCTGACAATGAAGTTGACAAGGAATCTTTACCTAGCATTAAAGAATACAAAAATGTACTCGATCAGTGGCCACCTGCTCAAATAGCGGTGGTTGCTCGATCTCAGAAGAAAAAAGGCACCACGGTCCCGCCTTCTATTTTGAGTGAAGCAAGAGCATTTTGGAAACTTTACAAACAACAGAAGGCCATGCTGAGTATTATGGGAAATATTAGTAAGTTTACACTTGATAAAGCTCTGTAAGTTATAAATTTCTTCCTTTTTCTACTTCTTTATCAATATAAGTAGCTAATATTAAACCTGATCACAGAGGTGAGCTTGGTGGGCGCCGAAAACCAGGATGCTATCAAATTTGGTTAAAGTACAGCAAAGAGAGGCAAAAACATTGGAGTAAGCCGCATTGTTCTTCATATTAGTATTTGATCCAAACAATATTTCCCATACTTACAATTGCATCTGCCTTTCTAACAGTGCCACTTAAAGGAGGTCCGGAAGGTATATTGGCAAACCGCAATTGGAAGCTTGGAAAGATCTGGAAATCTCTACCCAAAGAGCACCAAGAAGTCTTCCATCCATCGGTCTTTTATGTTCTATCCCGTCTTACTCCACCTTCCAGTGATTCAGATGTCGAAGATGATGACAATGATGAAAATGAAATTCAAGCGCAACCACGATTAGAGCTTGAGCCAGAGCACTGGGCTGAATTGCAAGCTCTTTATTATCAATTAGTTTGTAAGGACAAAGTTGCAAAAGAGTATGCAAAGGTGGCTACTGGAATTGGACATGGACCAAGCCTCCCGGATCACAATAGACAATCTCTGAAGGGTATCGAACGAATTCACACGCAGGTAATGTATTTTACTTATTTTTCTACATTTCTATGTGGTTCTTTACAACTGACAATGGCACGTGGGTTATCTAGATTGACAACAAAGCAAACAACATGGACTTTTCCTATTACTTCCTTGCTTGCAGCACTCATCACAGCCCCCAGCTCCTAGGCTCTGGCAGGCCAGAGATTAGACTATATATTCTTGATCTGTGAATACAGGAGCAGGTGTGTACAGATTTATGACATGATATGATGACATTGGAATTTTGGTGGTTGGACAGGCAAATGGCCCCATATGATATTATGTTGAAGTCATTTTGAAATCTTTCTGAATCTTTTATGAATCTTTAATGAATCTTTCATGGAGTCAGTGGTAGGCTCTGGCAGGCCAGAGCCTACTAGATGGGGGCTGTGCATACATCTACTGAGGCTTCGTCGGGTTCCCCTGGATGGTGTAGGAGTTTACTTCGCATGATGACACTACTAAAAAAATATTGTTTTCCGGGCAGAACACATAAATGACTTATGTCATTAAGTGGACCCCAGAACACAAATACCCCCTGTTACTTATGTCTGGGGCCCAGAAACCAAAACCACGCGAAGATGCCCATTTCGTAATATACCCCTCTTGAATTCCCGATAAACGTGCTTATGTATGTAACCCATCTCAAGACAATCATTTTTGAGATTTCATCATCATCTTTGAAATCACTACGAACTCAATCACTTTGCACCTGTTTGTCTTCTATTGTTATAACTTTGGGCTTTGTAGAGATTTATTTTATGTCATCATTTCTTTGTCCAATTTGGTCTTCGAAAAAGTGCCCTTGTCATGAGTCCCACACGATCTCCACTCGACGCAATCGGTAGAAAAGAGGCAATATAAGTATCTACATAACTCTTTGTTTGTTGCTTGCAACATCTCTCGAATTCAAAAGCTGTACTGATTCTTCTCATATTCTCGTGAGGCCGAATCATGATCACCAAGCACAACAGATTACCAAATGCAAGCTGCACGAGCACAAGGCCGCAACACACAAGTCATATCTATCAAAGGGCCTACTTCAAAAGTATGTATTCTTCTCTTCGAGCAATTGTTGTAGATATATCAGGCTTCTCCTTGATCTAATCCTTACAACCCTGTACATCTTTCCATAATTCCGCCCACATCGGCCTCTAGAGTTTATTTTGTGACCTGTTGGCTTTGAATTGTTTGTCGTTTGCCTTGCTATGTATCTCATTTCCTCAGACATGTGTATTCGTGTTGATAAGTCTTTCTTTTGTATATCTCAGGTCAAAATAATCCATCAAGTCGACTCCAAACGACGCTTGGGCACCTTTCATATATAACCTTTGATGTAAGTATACATCTATCAATTCTCTGTTCATATGGGCGGGCCAAGTGAAAGACTGATCAACTTCCTTTTGCAGACCTCAACATTTAGCCTGTTAATTTGTACATCACAATGACCAACAAATCGAAGAAAAAGAACTCTCCAACAGGTCGAATGTCTACTGGGACTTCTCCGAACGATCTGAAGCCAGGCACTGATCAACCACAAGGGGCTAGTATACCGTTGCACCAGCCCCCTCTACCTCCCGGTCCATCGCCTCCCCAACCACCTCTTCAGAATCCTGGGGAGACACTCAACGCTACTCACTTCAAGATCCAGACACTATCGGACAATCTACATTCATTCCTTAATCATGATTATGAAGAAAAGAAGGAATCTTACAAGCATATCGACTACTACCGAATTTTGGTACACTTCAATCCGGCAACATTATCTCGTCCAAATCACAGGAAGGATAAGTTGATTGCCGACTTTATTAAGAATGTGTTACCTCTCATCAAGCCATACCAACACCCTCCACCTCCGTTACCGATGCAGACTGATCAATCTACTCGAAAGGACTTCAATCCTCTTTCTAAAAGGGCTAAAAAAGAAGATCTTATGAGTGTTATTTGGGACTCGGATTCATCAGTTGTTATACCCAAGGCAGCAACAAGTAATGGCCTACTTTATTTGTATCGAGAGCATGTCGATAAAGATCTCCAGATCCCTGGCAATACTAAGTTCATCAAACCTCCGAATATCGTTAAACGTTCAGAAGTCAAAACCCTTCTCATGGAAGAGCTTCGACTAACCTTACAAGATCAAGCTCCACACGTCTTCATCCACTCAATCCCAATGAGTCACACCGTTCTGGTGAACCTTTACATCAAATTTGTTCTTGATGAAACAGTTCAACCTGGGCTCTTGGTATGTGGGTTTCATTACTCACTTTTACGCGAAAAAGCCTGATCTGGTGTCCTGCAAGTAAGTACAACAGGTTTCTATCTAACCCTACTATTGGGTGGGATCTAATCACACAAATCTCTCCAAATGACCAAACCTTTAGTGTCCGTTTCACGCTTTCAGATCTTCTTTAGTAGCTCAGGTAAGTCTATACTTTTGTGATCAGTCTTCATCGCGTGTCACACTAATCATCATGTACTCTCCTTTCTAAATGTGACAATCAAACACTTCAAGTAGCCTAACGACTGAGACTCGCCTTCTTCATCAAATACTTATGTCTTTTCTTATCTACTCGCCATCTTGATCAATTATACATGTCTCATCCTATCCTTTTCCTTGTTGGAAGATCATTAGTTGTAAAACACTATATCGGATGCATCATTTAACAGAATCAAACATGCCTGAAGCTCGGCTCTGTTTGACCATCTCGCATTCTTCATACATTTCATATATCTTCGGGCCATGTAACCATTATCTAATCACTCCTTAACTCCCTTTGACCAACATAAATCTTGGGTCCAGTCGTCTTGACACTAGTTACGTATGTATTGTGTGTGAAAATCCTACAGTTTGTTCCCCAATTGAG